TTGGGATCTGGGTGGGAATGCCCTGTCCTGAATACTTCCTTGTATAGATGGTAAATTTCTCTTAAAACCAAGTCACTGTCATGTAGAAGAGCCCTGAGAACATCTGAGATTGCTCTTTTCAGCTAATGCAGCCACCTAAATTGGGCAGCTGAGGTGATTTTAGAAAATGACAGAAAGTTAACAGATTTTTCTGACTCATTCTATACTTGCAAATAATAATAATAATAATAATAATAATAATAATAATAATAGTCTTAATTTCCTTGTATTTTATCTTTGATTAGTTTAGTTTAAAACTTCTGTATCCTCTGGTTTCTGCTTCTGAAGCTATCAGGAGAGTCAAACTGACTCTAGGTGGGGCTAGGTAAAAGAGAGAAGCAAAATAATCTGAAATGACAGACCCTTTTTAAAGTGTCTGTAAACTTGTCAGAAATGTGCTAATGAATGGACAAAAATATTTATATAAATAAGAAGTTTATAAAATGTCAAAGTAACAGAGGGAAGATTTTTATCCAGAGTATGGAACACTAAGAATAGAGATTCATTTCTTCCTCATCTCCCACACCTCCCACCTTTCTTATCTCCCTCTTTTTCCCTATACTCCTCACATTATGACTTAAGACTTTTAACAAAATCATTGTTATGGAAATGCAGTTATATATTTTTATCTCTTTTTTTTCTGTCATACTATAGATAAAAAAACATTCCCAGAGAAGGGATGTAATTTACCATGATCACACAACAAGGCTTGGCAATGGAACAAAGACTATATCACCAGTTTTCTAATTTCTAATCCATAATTTGCCTATGTGCTCGGACTCATGTTTCCTTACAACCTGACATTACCATATTCTTCTGCTCTCTCCACAGAATAAATTGGATGGGGCATTTAATGGTAATGAAGATGTCTGCTGCATAAACAAAGACTTTCAGCCTTTTTTTCTGAGTAGCTTAGGGAAAATCAAGTGTATTGGAGCATGTAACAATGTATAAATCTAGAAAAGGGTATTTGATAAGTGAGTTGCCAGGCTGTTTCCATGGAGAACAGAATGGAGGTGGAAGAGGAAGCTGAAATTAGAGCGATAAAATTATAGTTAAATTCGGAATATTTGATGCATAATTTATAATGGGGTTTGAGGAGTAGAGTGAGTTGCTTGAACAATCCCATCTCCCTTGGGGACTAATTCCCTTATTGTACTGTTGGTACATCCATCTTTGAACTTTTTCAGCTCACTTTAGCTGTTTCCCATAAAGCTATTACACAACTCCTGAAAGGAGAGAAGTTGCTAATCAGAAAAAATAAGGAAAAGGCTGACTTTCCTGCTTCCATTCTCAATGACTCATTCTTATGTGTGTGTGATGGGGGCATCTCTGTCCAATCAGACTCCAATTGCTTGGTATAGCAAGCCACAGTATAATGTTCACACAAGTTCATCTTGATGAGGTCTCTGTAGGTGTAGGATGGTTAAGGTAACTATTATCAGGAGTAATATTTTAGGATCCAAATATTCAACAAAACAAGCCTAATAAGAGACATAATCCAGTATTCCGTCTTCCAGTATGTTGTTTCTACTAAAGATAGAGGCACATGACTTGAAGGAAAGATGGAGAGAGAAGCCAGGAAGATTTGGACTTAAACTGCCTTTTACTGGCCTCACCCATTTTCTGGCCTAAGTACTGTCTCTAGTTCCAAGGCCCACTGCCTCCTAAAATTATCCTGAAGTGTTTCCTTGTTTGGCTCAGCTTTGACTATCGCAAAATACTTAGTATTATCTGAAAGCTTGGAAACTATGTATAATTGTGAATGCTGTTTTCAGATCAACAATACTGATCTCAGAACAAATCCCAGAACACATGCTGTTATTTATAGATTGTCAACTAGAGAAGATCCTCTTTTCTCTGATTTACATAAATCATTCTTACAATGTCATTGTGACTTCATTCCTTTTACATTCTCTCTAGGGTGGAACATTCTAAAAGTTTCTACTCAGAGGGCTTTCTGAAAGTGTAAATGAATTATGTTCAATGTTTCATTCTTACATACATGTATCATCCCTAATAATTCCTATATGTTAGTAAGGAACTATGAAGAAATGACTCTCTGGGTATGTGTACTTCTATGTGAACATTATACTGTGGCTTGCTATTCCAAGCAATTCTAAGACGTTCATCTTGATGAGGCCTATGTATGCTTAGGATGGTTAAGATGCTATTTTTAGGAGTAATAATTTAGGATATAAGTATTCAATAAAAACACAGAGAGAACTACTCAAATAAGCTAGAAAGCTGAAGAGAGGGCCTTTGTCCTAGGCTTCAAGGAGTGTAAGAACCTAAACTTATCCTCTGGGAATAGAAGTATAAAGTATTATCAGCTACACAGAAACTGTCTCCGAGTAAGCTAAAACGGGAACTCTGTGGTAATTCATAAGCTGAATATAAGCCAGATTGGACAGCTCTATGATGCCCTCCTAGAAGGTGATATTTCTTGAGTTTTGTAAAATTTTCAATAAAATAATTTTGAATATTTCAGTTTTAAGCCAACTGAGCTACAGAGAATTAAGGAAACTACCTTTTTTCATCTTTGAATGTGAGCATTGGCAAGAGCACAGAACCTCTCTAAGGCCAGAGTTATGGCAGCGGTGGCTATCAGGGCGTAAATATCTGAAGAGCCAATAGCTCTTTTGTCCTGACCAATCAAGGAGTTTTTCTTCATAGTTCCAGTCTTAGAAGAGTTTTTGTTCCCCCCTGTGGTCTTTTCCTCTCTCTGTGGTCTTTGTTATAGAAATCGTATCAATTGTCTCTATATGGTATAGGTTGGCTTTGTGTTTTAGTGAGCTCAAATATTAGGCAAGTACTTAAGAACATAGACTCTGCAGCCATGCCACCCAGGCCCACCATATTCCAGCTGTATTTTATTTGTACTTCAGTTACATCAGCTATGAAATGATGATAAGTAGCTGCTTTATTAACTGTGGTGAGGATTAGTTGTATTAAACCATTTAAAACACATAGCACAATATCTGACACTATGCTCAATGAATGTTAGTTGTGGCTGCTATTATTTTATTATGGTTAGTGCTCAATGTTGTTGTTGTTGTTGTTATTATTATTATTATTATTATTATTATTATTATTATTAGACTCAATCAGTCTCCAGAATTTGAAAGGCAAACTCATTGATCTGACATTTACAGAATGTCTTCAAAGCTCTTATAGGAAAACCATGAGTGACTAAAAACTCAGCAGCTCTCCACAGCAGCAGCGATTTATGCCAATAAATTATCCATTATGGTCAGTTCTCCAACTTCTTCCCAGAAGTTTTACAAGCTCTCAGTGGAACAAAACTACTTATTTGTGATAATTCTTCACACTTGATTTATCAAGGTTAACAATCCATGGCACATTCTACAATTTTCTCTGTTGTCTCAGCCTTATCTGCCAAGAAAGACAATTTAGGAGTGGGATTGCCTTTAAAAAGTAGAGAGCTAAAAAAATAAAAATAAAAAGTAGAGAGCTCAGTTCTTCTGTTTACTACTCCTCACTCCAGAAGTTTCACTTGTTTTTCTTTAGTTGCCTCTAGGATAAACTACACAGTGATAATTATTATATGACACTTACTAGTGAACAAGAATTATAAAACTGTCGAGAGTTTATTTCAGAAATCACTTTCCTATTCAACAACCTTATCACCACCTAAGTTTGACGAAGCATTTGGACTGACCAGGTATCTGGTCACATTATTTCTTCTTTGCCTCACTCTGTCATTTCCCTCTAATGTCCTCGGGAGCAAAATAAGATAGGAGGATAGCACAGAGATGTAAATATATACAGATTGCCTATTATAACTCTCCAAAGTACTTCACTATATAGGTTACATACATTTTCTCATTATTGCTCATGACTGGAGAATGTATACATAATATTTACCACTTATTGAAGACAATATATGTCAGCCACTTCATAAATACTATCTCAATCCTCATACACTAATGCTCTGAAGTAGGTATCCTTATTTCCATTATATATGTGATAAAACAAGTCAAAGGTTGAAGCAACTTATTTAAGGTTATACAATCAATGAGAATGTAATAAAAAAAGAATTGGCTTAAGAAATTATTTAATTGTGTCAAACGTTTAAAATGTTTGTAATAAATTATAATGCCTTCAGTTTTAAAGAATGATTAAAGGATCATACTTTAAGGAATAAAATAATAATATGATTAAAAATGGATGAATATTGAGAATATCATGCTAAGCAAAATAAGTCAGAAATAAAAAGTTAGGAACCATAAGATTTCTCTCATATGTGGTATATGAAACTAAAAGGAATAAATGAACAAAAGAAATAAGTAAAAACTCATAGACACACTCAATAGTATTTTGGTTACCAGAGGGAAGGGATTTGAAGGGGTAGTAAAGGATAAAGGAGGTGAAATATATGGTGATAAAAGATGATTTGATTTTAGGTGGTGTTCATGCAATGCAATATAAAGATGATGCATCATAGAATTTTAATCTCAAAAATATATAATATTATTAATTAATGTCACCCAATAAATTTATTTTAAAAGTAAATAAAATAAATTTATAATAAATTAATTTAGTTCTGCACAAGATTAGATATCAATTCCTGAGGTTTTATTCGCATCACCTAAATTATTGACTACAACCTAATTTTAACCAGACATTGAAAGAAGAAAATGTTAGGGAGCTGGAAATATTATAAATTAAAATAAAAACAAAAGAAAGTTATAACAATCAGATTCTTGTTAAGGTGTTAATGTTTTATACTAATTTATTGTGTTGCTCCTTCCAGGACATTAGCATTTCAGCCAAATTCTGCCTTAACCTCAAAAAATGAGCAATATGCTACATATTTTCACTCAACTTTGCAATCTTGGAGTTGAGCTGGAGGAAAAAAGGTATATTTTCCATGCATCTCTAATCACATCATAGAAGACCATCCATGTCTGCTTTATCCACTCCAATTTAGAATTTACCTGAGACATAGAAATGTATGCTTCTCTCATCAATCCCAACTTTGTTCATAGCTATGCAGTAGTATATACCAGAAATGTTGCTTGTCAATATCTTCAGGGTGCTCAGAGTCTAAAGAAAAAAGCAATGCATTAGTCCCAGTTAACAAGGTATAGTGGTTATTAATGCCATTCACCAGGTATTTTTGATTCTTGCCCCTTTCAGGCACACAGTAGATTTTCCTTCCTGGATCCCTTGTGCTTCAGTGGGGCCATGTGACTAGTCAAGGATTTGATAAAGGAAATGATGTTGGTACTTTCTAAACTAGAGCACTTACCTGCTGTGGTGAAACTCTCCAAGATATTTTTTTTCTGGCATAATGATCAGCAATATTTGAGATGATGGCTAATCTGCCAGCCTGCATCCATAAATGTCTATAATAAAAAAAGTCCTCTTGCTGATGTGCAGTTGGATATATGGCATGGGCAAGAGATAAACCTTTGTGATTTTTTAACCAATCACATTTTGAATTTGTTTGCTTTCATAGCACAACCTGGGCCATCTTGACTAATACATCAGGCTGGAAAGTAGAACTGTATTCATTCATTCATTTATTGAATAAACATTTTTTTAAATGGACTGAAATGAGAAATTATTAAATTTCATGAGGACATATACACAAATATAGAATCATTCACAAACTTGCCATATAAGAATTAATTTTCCCAGATCCTAAGATGGTGGGAGGCAGTGAGGGAGAGAGTGTGAGTGAGTGAGTGAGTTGAGTGAGTGAGTGAGTGAGTGAAAGGGTATTGTGTGTAACTGTGGTGTGTGTGTGTCTGAGTAAAGAACAGTTAGATCCTATAACACTTTCAGGGGTTGGTGGACCAAGCTCTTTTAGATGGAGAGCATCCACTACCCCTGAAAGCACTCCTGGGCAGCAGGCACTGGCACTGAAACAATGCCATCTTGAATGGCATAGCTTCCATGACTAGGAGCCCAGCCTTACCACCACACAGACTAACCTCAGACACAAGCTGGGACTCTAGTCACTCAGGCCAAATACCTGCTAACCACAGCTACAGACCCATGTACTCCAGGAATCCAGCCCTCCTGGCCTCAGGCTCCTGTGAGTCCCAAAGTGTGTTCCCCTTCTGCTGATCTGCTGCAGCATCACAAGCTCCGTGAACTCTACTGTGACTCTTGGCACACATGGAATTCCCACCGACCCCTATGGCCATGTGTCCTTGTGTCTGGACTCTCTTCCAAGACTCTCTCCAGAGACTCAGTGCATGCAACACTCCTGCTGACCCACCACAGTGGCACAACTCCAATGCAACTCGGCGTCTAGACCCTTTAGTGATAGCAAAAATAGGGAGACAAAGAAATAACACCCAAAGGAAAGAAAAGGAGGAATAGGCAGAAAAGGAACTACTAGTAAATGAAATGGAGGGATGCAATATGTCAGAAAAAGAATTCAGTGTACCAGTAATGGTCATCCAGTTCATTAACCAGATGGACAAGAAAATCAACAATTTATGTAAGAATCAAGGGTAAATCAAGAATGATATAGCTACAATAAAATATATAATGGAGGGTTTCAACAGCAGACTAGGAGAAGTGGGGGACCAAATTTGTGAGTTAAAATGTAGGGCAGAGAAACAAGTCCAATCTGAACAGAAATTGGAGGAATAAAATTAGAAAGCAGGAGGAGAGCTTAGGGACAACATGAAACAAAATAACATACACATAATAGGAGTGCCAGAAGGACAAGAAGAGGAGCAAGGATTAGAGAACCTATTTGAAGAAATAATGACACACACACACACACACACACACACACACACAAAACAAACAAAACAAAACAAAACAAAACAAAAAAACCTTCCCTGATTAGGGGAAGAAAAAAGTCACACAACACAGAGAGTTGCAAACTAGATGATCCCCAAAAGACACACACCAAGATGCATCATAATTAAAATGGCAAATGTTAATGACAAAGAGAGAAAGCTGCAAGAGAAAGACAGTTGTCTACAAAGGAACTGCCATCAGATTATCAAATGATTTCTCAACAGAAACACATCAGGCCAGAAGGGAATGAAATAAAGTATACAAAGTGATGCAAAACAAGGAACTGAATCCAAGAACACTCAATCCAGCAAGGCTATAATTCAAATTGAAGGGGAAATCAGTAGCTTTACAGACAAAAACCAAATAAACAAAAAACAAAACAAAACAAACAAACAAAAAAACGAAGGTAGTTTATCACTACCAAGCCAGCAATAGAAGAAATGCTAAAGGGAATGCTGTAAAAAGAAGAAATAGAAAGAGAGGAAGAGACACAGGCATAAAGAATAGAAATGTCTACAAACAAGTACTTATCAATAATAACATTAAATGTAAATGGATTAAATGCTCCAATCAAAAGACATCAAGTGACTGAATGGATAAGAAAACATGACCCATATATATGCTGTCTACAAGAGACCCACCTCAGAACAAAGGACTCACACAGACTGAAAGTGAAGGGATTAAAAAATATCTTTCAGGCAAATTAAAATTTTAAAAAAAGCTGGGGTAATTATACTTATATCTGACAAAATAGATCTCAAAGTAAAGATCATAACAAGAGACAAGGCAGGCCACTTCATAATTCTAAAGGGATCAATAGAACAAGAAGATATAACTGATAAACATATATGTACCCAATGCAGGAACACCCAAATACATTAAAAAAACAAAAACAAAACAAAACAAAAAAAAACTTCTGAAAGATATCAGCAAAGATATTGACAGCAATACAATCACAGTAGGAAAATTTAATAACTCATTAACATCACTGGATAAACCCTCTAGAAAAAAAATTAGTAAAGAAACAGCAATCCTAAATGACTCTCTAAGTCAGATGGATTTAATGAACATCTTCAGAACATTCCATCCCAAAGCTACAGAATATACATTCTTCTCATGTGCACATGGGACATTTTCAAAGATAGACCACTTTTTGGGACACGGGCAAAGTCTCTCTAAATTCAAGAAGATTGAAATCATATCTAGCATCTTCTCATATCAAAATGGCATAAAATTAGAAATCAACTACAATAAAAACAATCACAAAAATTCAAACTCTTGGAGGTTAAATAGCATACTATTAAACAATTATTTGGTTACCAAAGAGATCAAAGAAGTAGTAAAAAAAAATCCTGGAAACAAATGACAATGAAAACAACCCCAAATCTATGGGACATAGTGAAAGCAGTCCCAAGAGGGAAGTTCTTAGCAATGCAGTCCTACCTCAGAAAACAAGAAACACTGGTAATAAACCATCTAACTCTACAATTTGATGAATTAGTAAGAAAGCAACAAGAAAAGCCCAGAGTGAGCAGAAGGAAGGAAATAATAAAGATCAGAGTGGAGATAAATGACATAGATGCCCCTCGCCCTCCCACACCCCCCCCCCAAAAAAAATACAAAAGATCAATGAAACCAAGAGCTGGTTCTTTGGGAGGATAAACAAGATTGATGAACCTCTAGCTAGGCTCACCAAGAAGCAAAGAGAGATCACCCAAATAAATAAAATCAGAAATGAAAGAGGCGAAATAACAATAGACCCCACAGAAATACAAAAAATTGTAAAGAAAATACTATGAGCAATTCTATTCTAACAAACTGGTCAACCTAGAAAAAATGTACATATTTCTAGAAAAATAAGACTTTTCAAACTCAATCAGGAAGAATAAAAAAAATCTGAATAGGCTGATAACTATGGAGGAAATTGAAGCAGTAACCAAAAACTTCCAACAAACAAAAGCTCTGGACCAGATGGCTTCACAGGCGAGTTTTACCAAACATTCAAAGAAGAACTAAAACCTATCCTCCTCAGACTATTTTAAAAAAAATCAAGAGGAAGGAACACTTCCAAGATCTTTCTATGTAGCCAGTAGTACCCTAATCCCCAAACCAGATAAAGATACTACACAGAAAGAAAATAACAGGTCAATATCTCTGATGACCATAGATGCTAAAATCTTCAACAAAATTCTAGCAAATTTGATCCAGCAATACATTAGCAAGATCATACACCATGACTAAAAGAAGGATCTCAAAGTATTTGCAACAGCATGGATGGACCTGGAGTGTATTATGCTAAGTGAAATAAGCCAGTCAGTAAAAGGCAAGTGTCACATGATGTCACTCATATATGGAATCTAATAAATAAAATATACTGATGAACAAAATAGATCCAGAGACATAGAAGCATGGAAAAAACTGTTGAATCTTAGAGGGAAGGAGGGGGTGGGGTATTGGTAGGAAGAGCTCAACCAAAGAACTTGTATGCATATATGCATACCAATGCCCAGTGCAGGTATTTGTGCACATTGAAAGGACATTAATTAGAAGGTAGCAGTCATGGTGGGACTGGTCAAGACGGTCTGGGCACACCCTGGAGCCAACCTCCCATGACCCCTCCTTGGCCAGCCACAGATGGGGTGGTACCATGGCTCAAAGGCATCCTTCGGCCTGGCCTTTGGGGATAGGGCCAAAACCAGCTCTGCGACATCTCCCAAGGTGTTCCAGATTACAAGAGGGCAGTTCTTGGGTGAGGCACCCCAGAATCAGGCTCCCTCCTCTCTGGTTCCACGGTGCATCATCCGAGAACCGCTGCTGTTAAGTCACTGCAGCTTGGCAGCTCCTGCATTGAGTATTTGCCCCCTGGTGTTCAGTGCACATCCTAACTACTGGTCAATGCATCTTCCCCCTGTTGGTCATTGCATGCCATTGTTACCTGTCAGATGGTCTGACGGCCACTTAGCCTTTTATATATAGAGATTCCATGGACAAGGACAATAGGGTGGTGAAAAACTTGTGCAGGGAGTGAAGGTGGGTAAAAGAGGTCAGTGGGGGAAAAGAGATACATATGTCATACTTTCAACAATAAAGATTTAATAAAAAGGTGTAAAATAAAAAATAATAAAATAATATCTCAGACATATCTCATAACTATATTTTTCTGATATATCTTCTCGAGCAAAGGAAACAAAGAAAAACAAACCAAAGGGACTACTTCAACCTAAAAAGTTTTGCATAGCAAAGGAAACCATCAACAAAATGAAAATACAACACACTGAATG